TTGCACTTATTGGTCAGCGGCATAATCAAATGCGCAACTTTTTGGCACGAAGTTTAATTAGAAATCTAGCATGTGCGGCGCGTAATGTGATAGGGTGAACTGCGTTTAAGGCAAAACTAATTTCAACTCATAATTAAGCCACTTGCAAGTTGGTCCCGTAATCAGGCTTTTTCTTCAACACTGGCTCATTAAAAACAGCAGCAGCAGGGGGCAAAAGGCAAACAATCCGCTCTCACCTTACACAGTTGCTGGAATATTTTATATAATTCCTGGGAGCGACTCAAATGCATGGCAATGCAGCTGAAGTCGGAGGTGCTAACTCAATTTGCCTGCGCGTATAATTGCAGCCGACTCTGACGAGTTGTGGGCCAAACTTTTGTGTGCTTAATTGAGGGCATCATTATTCGCCCAGGCGAGCTGGCCAAGCGAATGGAAGTCAGGGCTCAAAGAGGGCTATCCCTAATTACAAGTCAAATTAAAGTTGACCCTCGCCAAAAGGCATCTTTCAAGGGATCAGCGCAGAAGCATTTTGTGCTTAACGTTTCATTTAATATTTAGCCAAATTCACTCGGTCACATAAATCAATGCCAAACAACAGGCCGGGGGCTCCCATATGAATACTCAAGTGTCTCGCCGAGCTACAAATGGGACAAATTTCCATTTCGAGCCAATGCCGCATAAATGGCACATAATTTACGATATGAACAACGGAGAGGAGCAACAGAAGCTGCTAACCAAACATGCAGCTAACTATCCAAAGGCTGGTAACAATATTAGTTAGCATGAACGACAACAGCAACAAAGCAACAGCTTCACACTCAGAAAAGACACTTTTAGATAAGGAACTGGTAAGAAACTAGGTATTTTAAAGGATGCGACATTAGTCGAACTTTTTCAATAAGAGTTACATGAAATTACTGTTTAAAAATGCTAATTGATCGCTTAAAAATTACTTAAAATGTTGAAAGTATAATTGTAAGCAAATAAATAATCATATTTTGGCTTAAAAAATTCTATAGAAAATTGTCATAAATTGTTATAAAAACTAAAGCTAAGCATTTTAAAAAGTATTAGTACACATACACTTTTTTATTAAACTTTTTATTATTAATCATAAATTATTGATAGTTTTCTTGATGTTTCATTTAGAACAATTTAAGACAATTGTAATTTTGATTTTTACGTTCTATCTTAAGCATAAACTAGGTTTAAGACAATGTCCTTTTTTAAAGAACAAATATGGAGATCTGAATAAATAAAAACAAATGTTTGTATTAATAAAATGACCAGTTAAAGGATTTTTAATTTTGAATTGAGTTGCCAAATGTAGTAATTAGTCAAGTAAGTATCTTATCTTTATTTCTATAATATAGTACATTTTTCCTGGGTGTATTGTCACCATCGGAATCAGAGAGTAAAGTTTACATTTGTGTTGGTCGTTGTTGGGAATACCCGCACCCGAAGCTGGCCGGCGTCAATGTGTGAAGTAATTAATTACAAAGCAACTGATGTGTATCTGTGTGTGGGTGTCCGTGTGCGAGGGTGTGCGTGTGTGGCCTGGGTTTTGGATTATGATGCATGATCATATAGGTTGCTGCACGCACACTCGAAACCCGAAACCTACTCGCACACACTGGAACAGATAGGTAATGCCATCCTGGACATATGCACATGCACATGCATCCCACTAGCCGGGATTTCGAGTAGCCAAAAATTAAATTGATATACACCCGAGGAGAGAAAACGGATTCGATGACCAGGCCCAAATGCATTTCGCACAAAGCCACCAATGTTTTCCTTTCAGCTCAACTCAGTTGTCGGAGAGATGGAACCGTAATGAGTTCACTGAAAAAAACAATTTGATTGGGTTCAGAGAAGTAGTTTTAACTAAAAGTCCAAAAGTCTTCTTAGCACTTAAATGATTTTTCCAAAACCTTGACTTGATTTTGATTGGAATAAAACAATTCAATAACAAATTAAGTTAAATTTTACTAAATAAAATGATATTTTTAATGAATATATAAAAGTTATAGAAATAAATTATGCAAATTAGTAACTGAAAATACTTACACTTGAAATTAGTGAACTAAAGTTTAATGAAAAATAAATATAAACAATGATTTCGATTGAAAAATTGGAAGGATAATATTTAATTATAGCTAAACAAAGATATAAATTTAAATATTCTGAAAATTGTAAATTTGTTTTAGATTAGTTTTCCTATTATGTATTACTTACTTACGTATTGATTTATTTTAGTTATGGATGAAAAAAAACATGGGAGTTAAACTAAGCTGATAATTGTTAATTTAATGTAATGCAATTTAATGTAATTTTAAAAACATTGTACGTTTCAGTGTACGGTTTCCATAATAAAGATGTAAAATGAAAAAGTTAGTTTGTATATGCCTCATTATAATCATAGTTTATGAATGTTTGGTGTGTCGTTTCCCTCTACGCCATATCCTCGCCCATAAAATTCATTTATAATTACGATTCCCATATAAATTCCAGACGCACAATGATTCCGTTTCCTTACGGCTAATCCCTGGAGCCAAGTCAAGGGTATTCCACATTAGCACGGCAACTTTAGGCGTTGTCTGCCATTGGGGGCTAATTGTGCCCGTTGCCCAAGCCCGTCTGTTTCTCTCTATGAGCACTTCGATTTAAAATTGCGGCGCGGGAGTTTCAGGGATATTTATGAATCCCGAACACGTGACGGAGAATACAAAAAATACGGCGGATGGGGCGGATGGGGTGCATTTAAATTAATCACAGTAAAAGCGAATTGCCCAAAACAATGTAATATCCCGTGCAAGGACCTTTGGGAACGGAAATCTGTAAACCGTGACGAGACCAAAAACCAGAGCCTGTCACTGTATGCGTGTGTGTGTGCTTGTGTGTGGGTGTGTGCGTATGGGGACACTCTGTTTGTTTGTGTGCGTGCGGTTGCTCAAATTAAAACAAAGTGTCGTGCGTTTGATGAAAATGTAACGCATTTTGCTCAGCCAGCCAGCGACGCACATAAATGCTAATTGGCTTAACTGTATGCGTGAGTCCTTGTCCGTGTGCGTTTGGGTTTGGGTGTGTGTGTGGGGGCTCTTTCGGTATTTTGGGGAAATGTTTTTCTACCAGCCAGGTGTTCAAACTTAAACATTTTATAGTTCGGTTAATTGTCAAAGCCGCGTCAAGAGGCAGCCAAAAGTAAAAGGGTGCGCCAAACATTTGATGACTCAATTATTCGATGGTTTTTGTGGTTATTCATTCTGTGGGGATATGACGGTTGGGGAGAAGTTTAGTGGTACACCGCGATAAAATACCCTCAACAAATTTACTTTTTAAATTGTTTCTTAAAAGGATACTTAACGTAGGTTATCTTCAACATCTTGACATTATTGTATTTTAACCTATAAATAATAAGAAAGTTTTTTTAATTAACGAAAATATAAGCAGACGGCAATATTTATGTTTCGCGCCAATAACGAATTAAAACACATTTTTTTAAGTCCACATCAAACTCTTTTAAATTCAGATTCTTTAATAAAATGTTTTCTTAAACTAAAAAATCAAACCATAAAAAATAGCTTTTATAAAACTAACATTTATAATTAATAGTAAATGATAAGGAGACTTTTATTCCAAATGCAATTGGTTTTTATGCTCGAATTACTGTTTTGAGCGTTACTTTCAAATATAATATGTTATTAGCATATAATTGTAGCACTTTGCCTGAACCAAATAAAAATGAACCAAATTGAGTTTTAGCTTAACTTTGCATTAAGGAATTAGGACATGTCTTGTGAATTTGATAATAACTTTTTGCAGTGTACAGTGTCGTTCCTGTGATGAGGTCGAAATCGTTTAGGCAGCTGTCGCACTGATTAGCATGACCTCTACGTGATTTCACCCCTCAAAATCAAGGATGGGTGAAATGCGAAGAAAGCGTACAGCGCTGAGGAAAATTGAAAACAAGTGAAATAAAGTGATTGGCCATAACATTCGCGCGTACGCGTGCATTTTCCATTCTACGAGCTTGACTTTTCTACTTCCTTTCGCATTTCTCGACTCGCCTGCGCCTTTGTGTGCCCACAATTCTATGCTATTTTTATGTTTATCTGCTCCACTCCATTACGACTTTATGCTCTTTAGCAGACAATCAACATTGTTGCCGCCGCCACCCCCAAACACCACCCACTTCCGCCCCCGGGGGGTTGCGACAGGGGTACCGTTTACTGGGCGGACAATGCCCGTGCGAAAAATGCAAATTGCGAGTGGCGGAATGAAGTGAATGGGGCGCCGAATGATGGAATGATGGAATGAATGAGTGAGTGATTGTTGCTGTGAGCCAGACATTTAGAGGAATTTGCGCTGCGCCGCCTTGATAAATAGCAAACGCTTGGCCCAGCGTCGACTTGGACTCCCTCATATGCCATAATTTATGCAAATTAATTTATAAAAAATATATATATGTTTGTACAGCCATCTATGGACACGGACATATTTCATGCAAGTGCGACAATTTTCCCGGCAAGTACATAAATATAGTGCGCCTTAAAGTAGACTCATTTATATGGCTTTATGCTTTCTGCGTAATTTCAGGCGCTGACATTTATGATGTATGGCGACATACAGCTGCATTCAGAGTAATAGACATTTGGGTCTTTTCTTAAAAATCAACACAATAAAAACAACATAGGTAAAGCTGTTTACAGAATTTCTTCACCGGATAACAATATACAAAAATAGGAATAACATTTGGAAAACAAGATGTTTGAATAACGTTTTAAATATTGTTTTAAGAATTGATTATACTTTTTGAACTAAAACCAATTTGATCCTTTTAATAATTTATTTGATTTTTTATAATTGTCCACTACTATTATTATGACCACTGCTGTAAATATATTTATGAACCTTCAGTTTTGTTGCCGTGACGACTGACGAATGACTGGACTGCCCTGTGGCCAGTGACTGGAAGTCAGACTCAAAGTCAGACAGGTATTCGTTTGCCTGGCTTAAAGCCGTCATGTTAATTCTTTTTGACTTTCTAAGCATCTAGTGGGCGACCCCATTAAATTCATCTAGAGTATAGTAATAAAATTTCAGAGCCTTGAAAAAATTTGTTTTGTCAATAGTCTCTAAAGGTATTTGTTAGGCTACGTGAAAATGCCCGAAAAACCAGCTGCGAAGTCACCACCGAAGCCTTTGAACAGCATCAAGGGCACCAGGACATCCACTTCTTCATCCAAATCCACTTCCAACAGGAACAGACCCACAGGAGCTGCAGTGATTCGTCCTCCATTGCCAAATGCACATGATAGGGTAAGAGTTTTAGCCATTTGGTAATAGAATATCATGGATTAATGAATATCTTAGTTTTTTTTTTTTATTTAGTTTTCAATTTATACATTTATTTAGGCATTTATATCAACAGACTTTTTCTTATCAGTTTAATAATTTGCTATGTCAATTTATTGTTTTAGTTTTATAAATACTTATTTTGTAATTGCCAAAAATAACGTATTTTTTTAATAATATACTTTGGTTAAATTGTTATTATGTAATAACAAATTTGGCATAATTTATAGAAATAAAAGATAAACCACATTGTTCGATATTCCTTTTCATAACTTTCCTTATCTAACTTCAATAACTTTAATATTTACAGATTTGGAAGATCATGAAGATGTAGAGCCATGGATCAAAATCTATTTTACGGGGTATTATTTGCAACAATGATAAATTATTGGTTCAGGTATTAATCGTTTTAATTTGATTTAAGGTCCCCAAACTGGACAAACATTTTTTAAAACAAGATATTCTTATACTATAAAATTCACATGAATAAAATAAATCGGTAACTTCGACAGGGCTGAATAAAGCGAAAAAATCCCTTTAGGGAAAAAACTCTTATAAATCCCTAATTTGCTCACTGGAAGTTTGTATAAGCGCAGGCGCTGGTCTCCAAAGAGAAATGAGGGATATTTCAATTGCCGGGTAATTTGCTCTTCCATTGCGATTCTCTATCTCACTTTGCCTGGAGCTGAGTTAAAGGTAGAACATGTATAAGTCAATAAGAGTCTTAACTGGTATTATTTTAACTATAATAAGCTTATCAAAAATGTCAAAAAACTTGAATGCTGTTCTTTTTGAATGTTCATATTGTCCATCAGAATAAGTGCTTGTAATTGGGAGCTTTGAATGATTGTATTGTTATTATATTTTTAGGTATAAAGCTAAAAAAAAGATAAATAATATATCTTGTTATTTGTCAAATGAAAAGGAAAAGGAAGATAAACTAACTAGACTAAACAAATACATCAAAAGTCATGAAAAAAAGCATGAAGTATTTTTTAATAAAATTAAATTAAATTAAATAGTTTGGAATTCTTTAAATAGGTTATAAACATTTTTGAACATATTTATAAATAAATTGAAAATGTGAATAAATATAAAGTAAAAGCATCCTGCCGACGAGACCAGAATGCAAAACAGCTTGGGATAGGCCCACTTCTGCGATTCCTTAAATGCAATTTAAACCAAAACAAACTCAAACGGCCGAAACTCTCTTCCCGGCGAGCTCGTGCCATTTTTACTTTCATTCGGCGGTTGAGTGGAAACGAGGCAGGTCCTCCGAAGGAGTCCACGACGAGCGCAAAAGTCCCCGAGATGGAATCGACCGAGCCAAAGGATATTTTGGTGCTCGGCTACGTTTTTGCCAATGCCGTGGCTCAGTTTCGTATTCGTGTCGGAACGTGGCGCTACGGTCTTCTGCTCAAGGATACGCGAAAATCCGCTGGAGGAGCAAAACGCGGCGCGTGGAACTCACAAAACAACAAAAAAAAAGCACAACTGATTCGCTCGAGTGTGCTTGTGTGAAATTGTGTGTGTGTGCGGGAGTATCTGTGTGAGTGGATCGGTCCTGTGTTGTTTGGGCCGTTTAATTTTATTAGCACGCCGCGATGCGTCATGAAAATTGCAGGCAAAACACAGAAATACAATAAATGAAAAATTAAATATTAATTAAATTTTGCATACGAATCGAGCAACGAATGCCGCGATTCCACTGATTGAAATGTTAAATAGATATTAAAAATTGATGGTGTATTTCGGCCCCACAGTCCTTCTGCCGGATAAGTCAGACTGAGCCGCTGCCCCCCCTATATACATACATATATATTGGCATCTTGGCCATCGGGTGTGCGTTTATATGACTTTATTAAAATTGTAATTCCCCCAACTCGCGCGTGTTCTTACACATTGTTTGTGGACTTTGCTACCGCTCCAGATTTCCTTCCCATTTGTTGTTGCACTTATCGCGATTACCGCACGGAGCGCTCTACCTTCCACATACGACTTCAACTACCACTACAAATACAAGGGAAACGCCACGTCCTCGAAAAAAGTGCGTATGGAACTGCAAGTTAATTAAGTATTTGACCCTGCATATGACAAATCCCGGCTTAAGCGAACGGGAAGCGAATTTAATTAATAATACGAACACGACCATCTTGGCGTTCTTTAATGTTTATCGCCTTGTAGTCGATTAAAATGGCTGTTGGGGCGTTAATATATTCATGGAATCCTTCTGCGTGCTGCACTTAATTGCATTTAACTGGCAATTAATTGCTTTAAGCAGGGGGAATTGGTTACCCACAGACGATGGGATCATGGATTTGTTTCTACAGAAATACATTTTTAATATGCCTTCAGTGCACATTTTCCAATTAAAACTTGCTTACGAATATCTCAAATAACAATATATATATAAAAATAAGGATTATCAGCAAAAACCATTTTGTGAAAAAAACATTTTATAAAACAAGTTGAACAATGGAAAATTCTTTCTATTGGAAAATGTTAGATGAAGCTTAAAAAAGAGTATAAATTTATTTTGGGAGGACAAATAAGACAAACCCAAATGTATGGACAGATATCATTTTAATAAAATTTGTTTGAACAAAAGGGAATTTCTTACTGGTAAATCAAAAAAAAAATGATAAGGGAACGGCCAGATTTCTACCAGCATTTGACCAAAATTTATGGCCTGACTCTAAAGCAGAGTGGTTCAAGCCAGTTATTCCAGGCATAAAAGCTCCTTACAACAAGCCAAAGAGTACGCCAAAAATCCGGGCCCGAATTCAACCACACAGATAGGCCTAAAGACAGAAAACCCGGCCGACAGACAGCCAGCAAGTGGGCTTATTTGTAAGAGATGGGGGTAGGCATTTGGCCAGCATGCCAGACAGTCGGATCTGCACTTACCTATCTGCGGCAGCAGCACGTTTTATAATATTTATGCATGTCCCTGCCAACAGGAGATGTGCACTCATAGCCGGGGATCAGGATCGGGGGTTAACGAGGGTGGAGGCTTAAAAAATAAACCCAACAGGCAGTGTGGATTTGGAGTGTGTGTAGAGGCTCTCCGGCATTTGCCAAAAGTAACACTCCACTCTGAAGTGGGCCAGGGCATCCCCAGCGATGCATAGCCGAGTGGTAGGCGCATCCGAGAATTACATTTAAAATTATTTTACTTGGCAAGGGCTAGAGCAAACACAAATACAGGCAAAACAGAAGCCAGGCAACAGATGCCGCAACAACAAAATTAACGAAATAAAAACAAGGCAAGGAAAACAAAACAAGTGCAGCCAGAGAAACACGCACAAAACGGTTGGTTGATTTGAGTTAATATGGGATGGAGTTAACCCATTGAAAAACATAGGACGTGTAAGCATTTTTTAATGATTCTTTCGATAAGCTTTTTATGTCATTTTTTCCTAAGCCTGTACTTATATTTTTTTGAAAATGTTTGTAACGTTTAATTGCGATTTATCAAGTCAATCCATTTTTAATAAACTATGAAACCCAAAGCTTAAGACTAACATACTTTATTCCTATAGTATGTAAATTAAAAAAATAATAACTTTGTGACATACAAATAGTTTATATTTCTATTAGGTAAACGCCAAAATTAAAATTGCCAGATATGTCAAAATTATGTATTTTTTGTATTACTCATTAACTTTCAGTTAAGGTTTCCTAGACCATAATTTAAATTTTTCAAAATAATGCACCAACTTAGTTTTAATATTTCAAATTGTGCCTAATTCAAACTAGTTTCTATAATTACAAATTGCTATCAAATTGTCTTTAAATAGGACCAGTTAACCATTGAAAATTGCTTCACATTATACATTTATAAACAAAATGCATAAATTACAAATACTTTATGCGCTCATTGTTCGAAGTTTGCTAAATGGTAACCTTTTTTCTGGTTGTTGAAAAGTTTTAAAAGTCAGTGGTTATTTTCCCGCTATGTGGTAAATAATGGGTTAAATTTGGATGGCTGGCAGATAGCTAAGCAGAACATCTCGACGCCCACTTGGCTGTTTGCTTGTTTACACAAGCTCAACATTTTTGACAGTGCCACTCGCAACAAGAGGAACATGTGGAGCAGCTGCGGAAAAAGATTGATCCCACGTAACACAAAAAACGGCAAAAAGAGGAAAAGCCGTTCAGCCAATGGCGATTGCCTTGGTCCTTGACTTTTCCGTTGAACTATTGCAGTGGCCGAGTCCGTTTGTTTTGCTTATTCCCATTTGTTGCTTGCTTACAGCTGTCCAAATTTATTACGGCCAAAACAAATCGGTAAACTTTCTATGCCAACATGCAGCAACTTTCACGTACTGCTCGCAGTGTTTCCCTGTGCATTCGCTCCTTGTTTCGTGTTGGCCTTTTGTCATAAAGCTTAACACATAAAAATGTTATTGTCCGATGTGGAGTTGTGTGGCTTATTCTGATTTGTGTTGACCTAGTAAGCTTGCAGTGCCAATGGCAACGAAAAAGAATCGGAAAGAAGTATGGACGTTTTATGGTCGTAAGGCTGATTTAGGATTCCTAAGTGAAAGCTTTAAGGTCTCTGAACTGAAGTGATGTGACTTAGACTCTGAACGGAAGGCGATGCATATCGTGGTGCCCATAATATACAGTTGAGGAATCTGGCTGCACACCTATAAACTGGAGTAACTAACTCCATTTGGCTGAATTCAAGGAATTTGATTTGAGTTGATGTGCCAGCTTTTAAAACGATAGTGAATCAAATGCCTGCATCCAGAGCAAAACTAATAAAGTTTTCTCCTAGGAAACATTTTTTGGAGTTTTAGCTGATGAAATAAATTCCGAAAGCCAATTTTAGCACGGTAAAAATGGTTCTTGATTTTTTTTATGTTGACCTACATCGCGGTGAAAGTAAATTTGGTTAAAGAAAAAGATCCTTTAAAATAGATCAAAATGTTAGATGTTTTATATCTTATTAAAATTATCCTTTAATTGCAATTGTTATTCCAACATACCCAGAAATTGAGAGTCTTTTTGAGTTGCCTTAAAAATATACTCAAACTTAAGTTATTTCCATTTAATTAGAATAGTCAAACACTGGAATTGATTACTATAAACTTGAAAATATCACTCTCAATTGAAATGAATTATTTTGAAATTAAATTTGAGTGCAGAAATTAAATTTAGCTGATAAAGTGGTTTACTTATAAGTCTGGTATTGTAGAAGTTCCAGTCTAAGTCTGTAAAGATAATTGAAATCACAAATCTAGGACTTATCACCCATTGGAGTTTTTTTTATTAATAAGTTAGTAGAACAATAATTCACAAAGGCATGACTAAATAAATCTTTAAAATCAGTTGTATTCGTGTTTAAATATTTTTTGGTAATTTCGAAATTTAACTTTAAATTTATGTTTCAAGCGTTGCCTTTCGATTTGGCTGCCCCGAAGTTAAATACAATTCATGGGAAAGCCTTATTCAAACTGAAAGAGTTACTAACTTAAATAATAAACAAGAGCTGACGTAATGGCGGGCACTTAACCCTTATCGAGTCCAAAGTTAACCTGTAATTGCAGCACTTGAGCAGTTAACTCCCAATAAGCTCGGTGAAAGCGTTTTGAGGGCTTCGCTCTCATCGGGAATTACACTTCATTTGCCTAACCAAACTGGCCCCCAAAGTCCGCCTGGAGTTTGCGCAAAGTTTTAACTCTTATCTGTTGTCTATCAGGAAATTTTATGCGATTTTGTTTACCTATTTTAATGAGAACCGAAAAATGCTCGCACCAAAGCGGCGATGAGCGAAAGGAGGAGACGGGAAGGAAAACCTACAGGCTGGTGGGAAAAGCCCTGGCGAAAAACCAGGTCAAAGCAAACAGAACGAAAGGGCCGAAAATTTATGCAAAACTCAAAAAACAAAACAAAACCGGGAGCGGCTGAAAAAAAGGCACGAAAAGTACGATGCAAGAGGCCATGTCCAAAATGAAAGTGCGAATGTGTTTGTGTGTGCTCGTAGGTGTGTAGAAATGGCGTGTATTGTATCAAATTTAAATGCACAACAGTAAAATAATGAATTCTTTTGTTTGTATTTGCATCTGTGCCTGTTGTTGTTGATGTGCGCGTTGGAAGAACCAAAACACAAAACGAACCAAGCCGAGCCAAAAAACAAAACAATGAAAGCGAAAGAACACACACGTCATTGTTACACAGAAAAGAAAATATGTCTAGGGTTAAAAGGAATTTTTTTAAATATCTTCGTCCTCTTTCGTTACACTTCGGTCAATTATTTATAATATAGATTTATATTTTTCTCATCTAATTTTAAGATGAGGTTAATTCAAGTCTTATTTTAATTGAAAATCTTTAAAAACCAGGCCAGCTGATTTCACGTTTTTTTAGCTAATGCAAATTAATACCAGACTTTGACTACACACAGAAGATATGTTAAAATATAAAATAATACTGTAACATGAATTTAACCATCAACAAAAACTAAGTAAATTTTTGTAGTATGAAACACTTAATTTACTGCCTGTCATATCATTTTTGTTGGTGTACCAAATAAAACTCGACTTCCAACGTCAAATATATTTACAACTGCGGAGATGAAAAGGCCAGATGGAAATTAAGCTTATATGGAAATTAATGTGTGTACAGCAAAAAGTTTTTCTGCTTTTGCACGTGTCCGACAAACGAAAATTTACTTGCTACAGTCAACCGTTAGTGCAAAAAGTTGTTTGCCCCCAGAGGTGCCGTTTTGGACTCCTTCTTAGTAAAAATGACAGACTATAGTGTAATTTTATATCCATGACAAGGCACCTCTTATTGGTTATATGTTATATATTATATATAAACACCTGGTACCTGGTTTTGATCTTGGCGCATTTGTCTCTCATTTAAGCACTAATTTCGTAAAGTAAACATAAACATCCGATCGGCGTCCAAGATATTGTGCACCATTTGTACTTAAAAATTAACACTCTGTTATTACTGCATCGCTCATCAAATTTGAATCTTATAATAGAAGGAACATTTGCATTTTAAGCTTTTGTCTCTAAGATTATATGTAAG